TGATACGCCTCCAGCTCTGTCTCCTGCTACTCATTTACCAAAGCTGTTACTTGGGAAATATGGCTATTTTTATGTGGTATATCATTTTTTTAATTTTATGCTCACATTAGACTTTAGCACAATTCAAGTGGGGTTTTTGTGCTTTTATTTTTGTTTTTTACTGTAACCTCCCAGCACATCCTCCAGAGGGCAATAAAATGGTCAGGGATTGTGTGGGCTGATTTGAGATATAAAACTGACAAGGTTCCATGAAAGAACAGAAACCCATTATCCACCTCTAAAAATGCAAATACTCAGCTGAATGCTGGTAGCTCCTAGATACCTAGGAGGTTAAGATCTGGAGGATCTTGGTTGGAAGCCAGCATGGACAGAAAAGTCTAAAAGATTACATCTCCAAAATAACCAAAAAGAAGCAGGGTTGGGAATATGGCTCAAGTGGTAAAGTGCCAACTGAGCAAGCTAGCCAAGGTAGCACAAGGCTCTGAGGCTTAAACTCCAAAACTGAAAACATAGACAGACAAACAGACACAGACAGACAGACACACACACATACACACACACAAATTTGTCATGTTACCTCAGGTTACTTTAACACCTTAATTCTTACAATTCCTAAAATGATCATTTAGTCACTACCACCCACATTAGACTGTGTGGCATGCGCATGCATGCCAATGCTAGGGCTTTGAACTTGAGATCTGGGTACACTGTCTCTGAGCTTTTCTGCTCAAGGCTGGCATACTACCATTTGAGCTATAACTCCATTTCTGGCTTTTGGGTGGTTATTTAAAGATAAGAGTCCCATAGACCTTTCTACACAGGATAGCTTCAAACCTCAATCCTCAGCCTCCTGCATACATAGTAAGATTATAAGTGTGAGCCACCAGTGCCACATTTTACTACTGAGGACGCTAGAACTTAAGGGGTTAAAGAGATATCAAAGTTCGTACAGCTAAAAATTTAATTGAAGCATCTCCTATTACTCATGTCATAAAAGGTACTAAACAAAGGCCTTGTTAGAAGGTCAGCTGGGCATGGGAGAGGCTCAGTAAAAAGAGGTGAAGCAACCAGAGCTTCATGAGAGGTCTTCTAGGGACTGGAATGCCTTTGAGAAGGGGAGCGGGCCCACCAAGTGAAGTGGCAGTACCACAGGCCTAGGAACAAGCACACTGCCTACACAGAAGCAAAAACTCTTCCTTCTAAGTCTTTACCCATAAGAAACCAAGCTGCCTCTGGTCAGGATGTCTGCACTCAAATCTAGGTGTCAGGAGGCAGGAAAGAACAACTGAAAGCAAGTCCCAACTCCAGCAGCCAGGGTTCAGGTCCTGAACAACTCAACAACCTTCATGCCTAAGTCTCATCATCCACAACTGGGATGACAAGAGCAGAACAGCCACTTACTACATGATGCTACTGTGGCTACTGTTTTAAAGACTCTTGTCCATCCAAAGCATGCTTCCAAATCATGGTGTACAGGATAGCTTGCCCACTCACCAAGAGCAAACTGCTTCAATCAAGTTGATTAAACACATATATAATAACAATAAGCAAACGGCCTATTTCATTAAATGGTGTCTAAGAACTTAAAAACCAAATGCTCTCACAGTCATAAGAAGAAAGTTACTTAAATCAGTTGTCAAAAGCAACTCTTTTTCCACAAAAAGTACACACACATTTATTGTTTGATATAAACAATTGTAGACATTCTCCCCAACTAAGAGATAGGTCTAGGTATCATTTGGTAAAGACATAAACTATGCAATATCACTTAACAATTTGTTATAATATTTCAGATCAGTTTTACTACTAAATAACAATCCATTCTAAAATGTAAACTATATGTAACTCATATATATGTAATTATGGTTTGAGGTGACAGTTCTACTATACTTCTGTTAATCAGCAATAATGAGAGCTAACTTTTTTTTAATTTTTTTTATTTTTTAGCCAGTACCAGAGCGTGAACTGAGGGTCTAAGTGCTGTATCTTAGCTTTTTCCCTCAAGGCAGGCGACTCTAACATTTGAGCCACAGATCTACTTCTGGTTTTTTGATAGTTAATTGTAGATAAGACTTGGCTGCAGGATTTAAACTGGGATCTCAGATCTCAGCCTCCAGAATAGCTAGGATTACAGATTAGAGACAGTGGTTAGGCAGTGCTTAATGATTGAGATGCTACTATTTATAATTATCATATTCTCTTAATCTTTTGAGGGAGATAATAGATCCTTTCAGCCGGGCGCTGGTGCTCATGCCTATAATCCTAGCTACTATGTAGGCTGAGATCTGAGGATCTTGGTTCAAAGCCAGCCCCGGCAGGAAAGTCCATGAGACTCTTATTTCCAATAAACCACTCAGAAAACCAGAACTGGTGCTGTGGCTCAAGCAGTAGAGTGCTTGCCTTGAGCTGAAGAGCCCAGGGACAGTGACCAAGCCCAGACAGAGTTCAAGCCCCACGAAGACAAAAAAGAAAGAAAGAAAGAAAAGAAAAGAAAAGAAATAGATCCTTTCAGAGAAAATTCTCAGCTTTGAGGTTGACTATTATGAATGGTTCAGATAGATGATTTATTGTTAGCACCAGTGTGGATTTGTTTTTTTTTAAACACTAAAACAATATAGACAGATAAGTCTTAAATTTTACTATGCATGTGGATCATCTGGAGAATCTTGTTAAAATCCAAATTATGTCCCAAAGGTCCTGGACTGAAGCCACTGAAGCTCTCTCAGGGCGATGCTGCTGGTATATTGGATGCAGCAGGGACAACAAACATGTACAGGTTGCAATAGGCCACACACTACCAAAAAAAATGTCTATAAAACTAAACCTTGGGACACTTAGCTACTTAGGAGAATCAGAATTCAAGGGCAGCCTCAGCAAAAAGGCCCCATTTCAAACAATTAAAAAAAAAAAAAACTAGATGTAGTTGTATGCACCTGTCATCTCAGCTATACTGAAAGTATAAATAGGACGATCAAAGTCCAGCCTAACTCCAGTAAAAAGTGAGACCCTATTTGAAAAATAAAGCAAAAATGGCTGGGTGTGTCACTCAAGCAGAAGAGCTCCAAACAAGTTCAAGGCCCTGACTTCAAATGCAATACCACCAAAAAATATAGCCAAGCATTGGTGTGGCTCATGTCTGTAATCCTAGCTACTCAGGAAGCTGAGATCTGAGAATCACAGTTTGAAGCCAGCCCAGGAAGAAAAGTCCATTAGCTCTCATCTCCAATAAGCTACTCAGAAAAAGTCAGAAGTAGTTCTATGGCTCAAGTGGTAGAGCCCTAGCCTTGAGCACGAAGAGGCTCAGGGACAGCATTCTGGAGCTGAGTTCAAGCCCTAGAGCTGGAGAAAGACAGACAGACAGACAGACAGAACCTTTTTTTTTTTTGGCCAGTCCTGGAGCCTGAACTCAGAATCTAGGCACTGTCCCTCGATTCTTTTGCTCAAGGTTGGCACTCTACCGCCTGAACCACAGTGTCACTTCTGTCTTTTTCTGTTTATGTGGTACTGAGGAATAGAACCCAGGGCTTCCTGCATGCTAGGCAAGCACTCTACCACTAAGCCACACATCCAGTCCAAGATTAACCTTTCAAAAGTCAACTTTAATGGAAAAATAAGTTGTTTGATGGGTTTTTGAGCTTTGTAACCCTAGAACTATCTTCTTGATGACATATTTCCCAGTTTAAGTTTAGAGTCCACTTTCTTGAAGTTTTTATATTTGGAGGTAGAGAGCATTATTCCTCCTGAAAACCTTGATTTTTTTTTTAAATCAAGGTTGCCACACCCTTCAGTTGAGTCCTTTACCTCACTGGCCCAAGGGTGTATAATCTCTCAATATTAATCTAGAGATTAGGTAAATAGCAGTTAAGAAAGATTTAATAGGCTGGCCTCAAAAGCAGTTAGGAGAGATTTTATAGACTGGCCTTTTCTCCCACATGAAAAGTGAAGCTCTAAACATAGTAGTAGCTTTGCAAAAGGTAAATAATACCACTGCCTCCAACCCTGACCACACACTGGTGAAAAAAAGTTCTAGCAATGAGCTGACAACATTTTGTACAAATTACTAGATTTCAATTTTTTCATTTTTTATTTTACTTTTTGAATTAGCCTATGCTTTGGATTTCAATTCTTTCACCTGATCTTTTGAACGGCAAGTCTGAGTTCACCAGCAGTTCTATTCCCTTTCCAAAGCCCACGGAGTAAAGCAAGACATGTGTCTGACAAGTCCTTACACTCCACTTAGGTCCAAGTTCAGTCCTGCCCTTATTCATTTCTGATTATCTGTATACTGCCCAGCTATCTCCCTTAAAATGTGATTACAAACTCCATTTCCCATACACACCTCCTCCATTCTTGCTAACAGCAATGCCTAACCAAAGAACTAACACATCTTTGAGAATGTTCCATTTTACCAGATTATGGTCAGTTCAAAATTCTAAAGACAGGTAACCTGTTCCATTTATCATTACTTAAAGCCCTTCAAAAAATACCCCCCACCAACCAGCAGAACAAGCTTTCCATCCAAAAGACAAAAACACAGCGCTTCCACAATATACAAACATTGGGACCTTTATTTAAAGGGTGGCCATGCACAGTATTATTCCCAAGGAAATGGTTATATAGGCACTCAACTAAGCACAATGGGAGAATGCTTCATGAGATAGCATGCACATTTCTGATTGCAGGTCCCTGCAAATGGCTTCCCTGGCTGCTGAAGAAGTCTATAAAGTTTTCAGGCTGGGCCTGGGAGAAAGGCCTACCTGCAATCGGAAATGTTGGAAACACTCAGGTTCTTCTGACCTGGGGCATGCCTTGTCCACAACAGAGCTAAGCTACGGCTCCAAGAGGAAATAAGGACTGATAGGACTCCGGCCCTCAACATCCCTGAAGTCAAAAACTCCTCTGAGAACTGAGCTTTATTATAGCCAAGCCCCACAGAGGGTTTCCTATTTCTGGTACCTCCAAAACTGGCCACCCTCCCGGAGTGACTTAACTCTGAGTACCAATCGGGCAGTGCCAGCCAGCCACCGCGCTGGGGTGAAGGACTTTGGGATGCTGGTGGACTCGGCAGAATAAGCTGGAGCCTTTGTGGGCAATCCGGATTCTCCCAGAGCATCTGAGTTACACGCCTCCATCCAACGCATACTTATTCAAAGTCCACCATATGCCCGGGCACCCTGCTAAGCTTCCAGGGAGGGAAACCAAGCCACAGTCCCCCAGCCTCTGCAAAGACAGACAAGGGCCATCTGCGGGGTGGAGCGGGCCCCAGGAAAGCAGCCACAAGTTGCTGAGCCCAGGAGTGGCCCCGGAAACAGCACGACCCCTGCCTGTGTCCGAGCCCTGCCTGTGTCCGCTGCGCACGCCCGCCAAGCCAGGTGAAGAACGCGGGAGAGGGCAGGTAGGCCCGGGGGCAGGTGTGCAGGTCGGGGGCACACCTGAGGCGGCAGAGCGGGAAAGGGTGGGGTCCCCAGAGACGCGAGAAAGGCCGGAGACCCGGGAGGAGAGGGGGA